GAAGGTCAACATGGCAGCTTCCAAGTTAGCTGAAGCTCTGAAGCTACTGTGCTTCCATCTCTCCTACCCCAGTGGTGTCTGTGAGCCCAGATCTAATGTAACTGCTGGAGGACTCCTACAGTAGGTGACTCAGTGTATTGGGTTGGAGTGGGGTTTTCCTTTCCTGCAGTGCACTAAACTGTGAGGGGAGAGGGGGCCATGCTGCTGAATTCTGTCTGGCATTCCCTTCTTGTATAAAATGGGGCCTCTGGGGATARGGCAGCCTCTGCTTGGGTTTGGTTGTAAGTAAACCTGGAGGATAAAGCACAGTTGTCCCATTGAATTATTTGAGCAAAAAACTACTGTAAATAACTTTGTTTTTGTCTTTTGTCAAATAAAGTTATTCTGTTTTTGTTTATTTAAAAAAATAAAATAAGCCAAATTATAAGGAAACTTTCTAAAGTAATATATAATCATAAATATCATATATTCTTTTTTGGTAGGAAGGGGGATTACGGGGATTGAACTCCGGGGCACCTGGCCACTGAGCCACATCTCCAACCCTATTTTGTATTTATTTAGAGACAAGTTCTCACTGAGTTGCTTAGTGCCTAGCTTTTGCTGAGGCTGGCTTTGAACTTGCAATCCTGCTGCCTCAGCCTCCTGAGCCACTGAGATTACAGGGGCGGACCACCATGGGTCAGGCAAGCCTGATTCTTAGACGAAGTTTTGTGATTATTTTTGGTAGACCAATTTATGTCATACTACTTTAACGCTTAAGCAGAATTTTCAATACTTTCATCCATGTGTATTACATAACTTTATACATATTTTAGAAATAACCCTATGGTTCATATACTGTAGGTCTTTAATTTTCAGAAGCAAAATACTGATGCTAAACCAATTCATCCTTCCTCTTACTACACACACACACACACACACACACACACACACACACACACACACCTAATCCCCTTGTCCAGTTTGTTTACTATCTTTCATGGTTATCAGATTGACTGTCACAGGAAACAATTATTAGAGGCATCAAGCTATGCTGTATGTTCATGATAACTAGGTTTGGTTTGGTTTGGCTATTGCATATGTAAGAGTTTAGGAGAAGATAAAGAAACAAATGTTGGCTGAAAAACCTTCAGTGGAGTTTAGATTTTTACTTTGGAGACAAGGACCAAATAAATGGTCAACACTACTTGTTTCAATTCCTTACAATACTACTATTAGATGGGCTTGCATAAGTTTATTCCAAATGTTATTCTGCTCATGCTTCACAGGGTTACTGTGACGAGTTTTTGATGAGTTAATCAATCACTTCTTGAGTTACCTTGTTTACTGTCACTTCTCTATCCTAATTGGTTCCCTTACTTGTTCTGCACTATTTCTATTCAACTCTCCTCCATTTTCCATAGTAAAATCCCTAAAACACATACTTTACTCACTTCCATCACTTACACACTTTAAAGCCTTCCCAATCAGAATAAAACTTAAACTTTGTAGTATAGAAATCAAGATCTTACAAGATATCATCCCTGCCTACCTTTTGCTTCATTACATACTATTCTTTCCACCCTGTATTCAGTAAGCACAACCACAGATTCACACATTAAATTTTTTTTAGTTATTTTATTTATTTTTATATGGTGCTGAGGATGGAACCCAGTGTCTCACACATGCTAGGCAAGTGCTCTACCACTGAGCCATAACACCAGCCCCCCCCCCACTTCACACATTTTAATCCTTCTTCCAGGAACACTCTTTTTTAAACAAAGAGAGTTCCTTCAGAGTTTAAATCTCACTTTCTCAGAGGACTTTCCCTCATGCTTCTCTCAATCTATATTAGATACTCATTACATTCTCATAACACTCCATATTTTTTCTTTTGGCATATATCACAATTTAGGATATATGTGTGTTTGTATGTGTATATGTATGTATTTTAATGACTAATAGACATTTCCTGATTACAGAGACCACATCTAAGCAAATCACATATAGTAAAATTGTTTAATGCAGTTTTTATTGCCACAAATGGTTTTTGATTGGATTAAGCATGATACTTTAAGATGTTTACTCTGGCAATAATGTTTAGGTTAACCAACAAGTCAGAGAAGTACTTGAGGCAGGGAGTCTCATGAAAAGCATGCTACAATTATAGCCAAGAAGTAACCAGGTCTGAGCTGCTGATAGATCCAATACTCTTACCTGTAAGGTAGCAAGGAGAAAGTCAATACTCTTAGAGTATATGACTATTCCAAAAGAGGAACTGTGAAAACTTTTTGTGTAATAATTCAGCTCTGAATTTAGTTGACCAGATAAATAGGTTGCTGAAAGAAACTATCATTCTAACTCTAAAGTTATTGATCACAATCCAACACTGATATGATACAAAAGAAATCCCTTTAATCAATGTAATTATGTCTGGTGATTGGTTAACTGAAAAGGTCATAAGTTAAAGAATAAAGAAATAGCAATCGGGCTGGGATTGTGACTAGCATGGGCAGGGCCTGGGTTCGATCCTCAGCACCACATAAAAATAAAGATATTATGTTGTGTCCATCTACACCTAAAAAATAAATATTAAAAAAAGAAGAAATGGCAAGCCTAGACCTTAAACATTTTATGTAATCTTGAAACTATAAACCAAGCATTCATTCCAAGTATCTTCTTTTAAATATGAATAACACTTAACGTGCAGCAATTTTTTTTTTTAAATGGAGAACATCAGCTAACCTGATGAGCTGATTAGGTGGAAGTCAATTCAGAGAGCTTCAATTATTTTTCCCTTTCTTTTTTCTTCTTCTTTGTATTGGGGATTGAATCCAAAGGTGCTTACACCCTGAGCCACATTTCCAGCCCTTTTAATTTTTTATTTTGAGACAGGTTCTCACTAAATTGCTTAGGGCCTTGCTAAACTGTGGAGGCCTTGAACTTCCTGCCTCAGCCTCATTTGCTGGGATTATAGGTGTGTGCCACCA